GTGTTAACTTCAACAACTTATACTACACCGAAAAACTTTCTTCAGAATCGTATGTAAAAATATTAATAAAATAAGCATCTAAAGTAAATAAAGAATTTTTATTAAAATAAGCAGATTGGTAACCGACTTTTACTACATTAACCAAAACATTATCTATTATAGATCTTTTTCTACTTTTGTTACCAAACTCCTCCTCTATTTTTTTTAATCATGCTTCACTAAATCTTTCCTCTAATTTTGTAAATTCTGCTTGTATATATAAATCATAAAGCCTTCTTTTTTCTTTAATTAGAAAAGATTCTTTTGCTTTATCTATTTTTACGAGAGCACCAACGAAGTTAAAAACTTCATGAAAACTACTGCAGTCTTGTCAAGTCGAGAAAAAATCCGCCTAAAATGTTTTATCTTACAAAAAAAATACTCGNTTTAGTTAAATTAATGCCAAGCTGAATTTTCTTATCACATAAAGATTTTTCTAGTGCTTGAGCATCAGTGTTTGCTACAACAAAATTGACCCCCTGCAAGTTGGATTGAATCATATTGTTCACAGCATTTCCACCTGCACCACCTACTCCCACAACAGTAATCCTTGGGTGCAACACAGGTAACTCTGGTAAATTAAGATCAATAGACATTTAACGACTCAATTAAAAGCGAACTCAGTTGACAATATACTAGCGCTTTATTTCAAACTTATAAAGACTCAATAGAGTGAGTTTATAATTAACATTTTATATACTGTAAAGCAATAACTTTATTCTTATATAAAAATATATTTTTATATAGTCCTCCCTTTTTCCCAACCTCTACAAACCAAAATCCAAGCAATCCATACGAGAGCACCAACGAAGTTAAAAACTTCATGAAAACTACTGCAGTCTTGTCAAGTCGAGAAAAAATCCGCCTAAAATGTTTTATCTTACAAAAAAAATACTCGATAAAATGCCTCTCTTTATAAACGTATTCGTAATAGTATCTCCGCGCTTTTCGATTTCTTTTTAGAGGAATTATAATCTCTTTACTGTGTATTTCTTTTATACTTTTCAAATTTGCAAAAATTTGTTTCCATTTTGTTTCTTATGTATAATATCTCATTTGAGTTTCTCCTTGTTTATTAATGGGTAAACTACCACTTTCTTCTTGCTTCTTTAAATTTTGGTTTATAGAAGTTAAGATTANTATTCAGCAGTACAAGCATGAGCTCGAATGATTGTCCCATCAATTATTTGCACTTCCAAATCTGGATCTTATGTATATTTTAACAATCTTTCTCAAATTCCCTTTTATACCAATTTTAAATCTCTTATGTACACTTCTGTAATTGCCATATATTTCTAATAAAAGTCCTCATTGGCAACCACTTCGTGTCACATGCTACACTGATTCCATGAGTTTTCTTAGATGATCTTCATTTTTACTATGTATTTCTTTTATACTTTTCAAATTTGCAAAAATTTGTTTCCATTTTGTTTCTTATGTGTAATATTTCATTTGAGTTTCTCCTTGTTTATTAACTGGTAAACTACCACTTTCTTCTTGCTTCTTTAAATTTTGGTTTATAGAAGTTAGCTAAAAAGAAGTTTTAAATGATGTAAAATGAAAGCGCTTACTTCACATAAGATGCAAAAGCTATGTAAAGCACAAACTGATTATAAAACCCGTTACTAGATCTACCACTAGTAGTATTAAATTTCATGCTGTAATCCCTCCATGGGTTTGCAAGGTCTATTGTTGTGCGTGATGATTTCGGGTATTATGGTTGATATTTAACTATAATCAACCCATGTCAAATGTAATTACTAGATTTGCTCCTTCACCAACTGGATTTTTGCATATAGGAGGTGCTCGCACTGCTTTATTTAATTGGCTGTATGCAAAACACCATGGAGGTAAATTTTTATTACGCATTGAAGATACTGACCAAAAACGCTCAACAAAAGAAGCCATTGATGTAATAATCAAAGGTCTTAAATGGCTTGGGATAGATCATGATGGAGAAATAGTATACCAATCGGAAAGAAGAGAGCGGCATATAGAAGTAGCAAATCACTTAGTTAAAAAGGGTAAAGCATACTATTGTTACTGCTCAATAGATGAGATTGCAGAAGAAAAAGTACGGACAAGAGAAGGAGGAAAAATATATAAGCACAAATGTACTACAAATATTGATAAGAGCATCAAACCAGTTGTGCGTTTTAAGGTAGAGGAGCATTCGATTGAGTTTCAAGAAAGGTCTATCATTGTCGATGATAAAATATATGGACAAGTTAAAATTAGCAATGCTCAGCTCGATGACATGATAATCTTACGTTCTAATAACACCCCTACATATATTTTTGCTGTGGTGGTTGATGATCATGATGATGGAGTTACTCATGTAATACGAGGTTCTGATCATCTAACTAATACTTTCAAACAACTATTGATATACCGAGCTCTTGATTTTAATGTTCCCCACTTTGCACACGTGCCACTTATTCACGGGGAAAATGGCAATAAATTATCCAAAAGACATTGTGCAACAAGTGTGTGTGATTACGAAAAAATGGGAATATTACCCGAAGCAATGCGTAACTATTTACTCAGACTTGGTTGGAGTCATGATAATGATGAAATCATTAGTGATGAACAAGCATTAGAATTGTTTAACTTAGATAGCATTGGCCGCTCACCTGCGCAATTAGATTTTAAAAAGTTAGAGCATTTAAACAATTATTATATTAAAAATACAAGTAATGAAGATATTTTAAGCATACTTACCACAAAACTTAACATCACTGATAAAAAAAGGAATTACCTGCTTCAAGGACTAACAGAATTAAAAAAGAGAGCAAATAATCTAATTGAGTTATTAGATATAGTTAAATTTTATACAGAGAATTTACCTCTTTCTTTAAGCGAAGAAGCTCACAAAATTATTATTGCTAATTTAAGCACAATCGACCTGCTTACTTCATTTTTCTCGTATATTAATAATGAAGATTGGCACAAAAACTCCCTATATACTCAGATCAAAAAATTTGCAACATTGCACGACATGAAAATGAGTGACATTTACCACTCACTACGCGCTCCCATAACTGGAGTGATGGATGCGCCGGGAATCATTGATATAATGGTAATTCTTGGCAAAGAGGAATGCATAAAAAGGTTGCAACATTCTAAGCACTATGTTTAAGAAAAACATGTTTACTGTATTTGGCATTGAGCTAGAATTTTATATCGAAGTAATAGAAGTAGATTTATTTCTTAATGATATTGAAAACAAAATAGGTTTATTTGGATTCTCTTGCGAGAAAGAAAGTTCTCAACATCAATATGAAGTAAAAAGTTGTTGTTATGCCAACTCCAGTGATCTAATCAAACATTTTGAATATGTCAAAGAAATACTTGCGGACACAGTGCATAAACTTGGTGGCGGTGTTTCTTTTAAAGCAAAGCCTTACTTAGATAGAGCGGGTAGCGCTTTAAATGTACATGTTAATTTAGTAGATCTAGATAATAATAATTTATTTTATGCTTATGATAGTAATCACTTGCTTTATAGCATTGGTGGTTTATGTGCAATGATGAAAAGACATATGCCATACTTTGCTCCAAGCGACGATTCGTACTTAAGGTTCCGATATCCAGATCTCAATACACCAACTACAGTTAGCTGGGGTATGAATAATAGAACCGCCGCGATAAGAATTCCCAACTTCGCTGGTAACTTCAAAAAATGCCGTTTAGAACACCGCGTTCCTGGTGCAGATTGTACCCTGCAAGAAGTACTAATGGCAATAACGGAAGGTATAACTTTCGGCATAAAGAACAAAATTATTCCGCCAGAAAAGGTATACGGTATAGCTTCTGATTTTCAATACGGTATGGAAAGATTAATATAATCCAACCTTCAACGTTAAGATTCCACCAAAAGCTTATTTTACTTCTTTTCTTCCTTTTATACCTCTAAATTTTCATGCGTAGAACCTGAATTTATGTTACTTGAATTCCATTCAAGGTAATTTTGTTTTTTTTGAATTTGGTGTATTTTACCTCGGTAATTCTTCTATTGCTATTACAATAGAAACAATAATTTCATTATATGGCATGAGAAAATTTTTTAAAAAAAGTGAGAAAAATCTATAAGAACTACAATAAGATTGATGACGTATGACTACTAGTTAGGATAAATTTGCGCATGAAATCGAGGATTTGACGCATGATAATACACAAAAGTTTCGTAACTTACTTCTTAAAGAAGTAAACTATATTTTTAAAAATATCCACTCTCAAAATATAGATATATTAAAATCCAGTTTAACAATTTATGCTGCGAGCTCAAATTTTATTGCTAAAAATCAGCTTTATGCGTTCTCTTCTCGATGCAGCGGAGCGCACAATTAAAAATTTATAAGTACAAGAGTTAAAATTTCAAACACTTTTGTTTGTGCAAATATTTTCGATATTAAAACATAAATAGAGGTATTACTTGATTAAATAAAAAGGGATTATAATATTTACTTTATCAAAAAGCCCAATTATATATGTGCAACGTAAATCCAAATCTAAGCCTTTCCTGTGACTTTGAGTGGTAAAATTGTTCTTGCGTACTGAAAATAATCAAGATGATAATCTGATTTTAAGTCTCATTGCCATGATAATGGAATACGCTGAATGGTATATGGAAAAATCGCTAAGGAAGCGGACATGGCAAATTTTATATGAAGACTATATAACGCGTAGAATCTATCTATAAGCTATTGTCCTGTTAAAGAGATGATATCAGCTACTGCAATAACATCCTCAGATCAAGAAAGACAAGAGATTAAGCATTATTTTAGGAATGTGGGAAGCTATATTGAATTTCAGAATTCTCCAAATACAAAAATGGTTCATATTATATATGAAGCTGGTTATGATACTGTTCCCGAAGAGATTAAATTAGGAATTATAAAACATGTTGCTAAACTTTACAAAAACCGCGAATCAAACATAGGCAGCTACTTATCTGACATAAAAATGCATATTTCCCATTTCGCAATCCAAGGGTTATATTACATATATAGGTTGATTATGGGAGAAATTCAAGGCATATAATAGTATTGACTCTATACTCAGGAAAAATACTAACTTAAGGAGTATGTCACTAATATTTATGATTACTTACCTAAACAAGTTTTAATTCCCTATGTAAAGTTGCATGTAGTAAATTATAAAAATTTACATACGTTGTCTAATTTTACTATTAAAGCAAGATTTTCATGTAATGTGTATACTATCACATAGGTAGTATGTTCAATATTATATAACGCATTAACTTGATATTAAAAGATATTAATATCTTGATGTCGTAGTAAATAATTGCGTCATAAATCAGTATGATGAAGTTTTACACTCGGTGATTAATTTTGATGTATTTTTTAAAGGAGTGAATAATGAAAAAATCACAATTGAAAATTAAAGATTATGATAACAACTATGTCATATTAAATAACATACGAAACTTAAGGTCTACCCTAGGCTCTAATATAGAAGAGATAAAAGAAATCTCTTTTCTTCGCTGACGAAAGGCATTAGATTATGTCGGAAGTAGATATATAACAATAAAAATCAACGGGATTTTAGACTGTATGATAGCTGATATATTACTACATAACTCTGCTATGTTAAATTCTATTAATGAAGATGAAGAAAAAATTAGTTTACAATATTCAGTTGAATTATGCAAAAGATATTATGACCCGGCTGCTTTTGATAATTTTACTTTGACTTTAACAAGTATTGGAGTTGTAAATACGTTCTTTTTAACGAAAACGAAAATTAAGATTTAAGGGACGTTTGTTAAACTATAAACAACTAGACTTCTAGTCTTTAGACTGTGTAAGAAAGTAGTATTTTATTTCAACTTTTCAAGTTATATATTCTCAATGGATAAAATTGCCATCTAAAATTAAATTAGAAAGAAGTATGTTTAAACTTAATCCCTACCATCATACTCTGAAACCATACATCCAAATAAATCATACTTATCAAGTTAATGGGGTGAGCGTGTTGATGATAAAACTGCATCAATAAACATACTAAAGTTGACTATTCTTTCCCCTACCGCACGTGAATTATGCCTTCTCATACTGTGTCTAGTTGAGAATTAGGTTTTAATATATGATTTATGATCTTTTCTGATGCATGTAGTTTTAGTTTAGGATCATGCCCTTCATTTACATCTCTAAACCTACCAAATCAATCAAGTGCTTTTCCCTGCTCCAATTTTAGTGCAATATCGTTTGTATCTTTCTTAAAGAAATTCTTTATTTCCTCAAGTGTCATTTTTTGAAAAACATTCCATAATATTGTGATAAAACATAAATTAATGGTTAATGATTATGTAAAAATATCATCTTTTCTACAAATCCTAGATTATATGAACTTACCAGAATTTTTCAGTTATGTTATGTATTCACATACATCTGTTTTTTATGTGCAATAGCTTTGAATAAAGGATTCATTCCATTCTCATTTGCCAAATTAATATCTGCACCCACTGCTAATAGAGCCTTTGCTATTTTACAAAACCACATTCAACAGCCAAATACAAAGCGGTTTCTCCATTATTGTCTGCAGCATTAACATTTGCCTCTTTTGCTACTAGATTCTCTACTACCTATGCATAACCTTTTCTAACATCGCAATGTAAGTGAGTGTATCCATCTTATCTCTAGCATGAACATCTACAACTTTTCTATTAGAAATAGCATTACTTCCGCATGACTCTCTTTAATAACATAATGCAAGGGAGTTCTTCCATCTTCATCTTTAGTATGAAGATCTGTACTATCTCCACACCCTCTATCCGAGACTCTTCAGAAGCAAAATGTAAAATGTAAAAATATAAATCAGTTTTCTCACAGTTATCTATAGCAAGCGCAATTTCTTTCTAAATTAATATATATAGTTATATATATGATATTTCATTAAAAAAAATCAAATTTTCTACTTTAAGCTGCATTGATATTATCCTGTAGAATTAAGGTGGGGCCGATTAGATATATTTCGAAGCTAATGGCAATTATGCTAATGATTTGCAATGGGTCTATTAATTATCTAATATCCATCCACCGCCAATGACTTGCTCACCTTTATATACTACACAAGCTTGGCCTGGACTAATTCCAAAATAGTCATTGCTTAAGATAACACAGGCTTTATTTTTTTTCTCAGTGGAATATATAGTTGCTAGACTTCCTGTATGTGATGATCTTAGTTTTACAGTTACTTCTTGGCTTTCTTGTGGCTTTTCCAGCCAATTCAGCTCTTTTATAAAAAATTTTTTTTGCATTAACATGTTTATGGGGCCAACCACTACTTCATTATCTTTTGCTTTGATTTTTACTACATAAAGAGGTTCGCCGTGGGTAATACCAAGGCCTTTTCTTTGTCCAACAGTAAAATTTATAATGCCATTGTGTTCTCCCAAAATTTCTCCATTCATATTCACTATTTTACCTTTGCGCACAGATTGTGGAGCTATCTTAGTTATTGTTTTACTATAATTTTCAGAAACAAAACATATATCTTGACTGTCCGGTTTCTCAGCGATTTTTAAGTCAAAATATTTTGCAAGCTCTCTCACGCTGCTTTTATAGAATTCTCCTAGGGGAAATCGAAGAAATTTTAATTGCTCCGAAGTGATTGAAAATAGAAAATAACTTTGATCCTTGCTTTTATCAATACCTGTACACAATCTGACTTTACCATTTTCTTCTAATCTTCTCGCGTAGTGCCCAGTTACTAACACGTCTGCACCAAGATTTTTTGTTACTTGCAATAAATCACGGAATTTTACCGTTTGATTACATCTTACACAAGGTATAGGAGTTTCTCCATGCATATAAGCATTCACAAAGTCTTCTATTACCTCCTTTTTAAATACTTCTTCGTAATTCAAGATATAATGAGGAAACTGGACACTTTCGGCTACACGCTTAGCATCATAAATATCTTGACCAGCACAGCATGCACCTTTTTTCGCGCTGCTACCACTATATAGTTGAAGAGTTACACCTATTACTTGATATCCGAGGTTGTGTAGTAAGGCTGCAGCAACAGAGCTATCAACTCCTCCTGACATGGCAACAACAACTTTAGTTTGAGCGGGAACTTTGTCTTTTAATAAAAATTCGATTTTGAACTTTTCTAACACGGCGATCTTAATAAACATATAATATTGTACAGAATAATAGACCTCTTAGAAACGTATAAATAAACTATACTTACCTCAATTTTTATGCTTAACTTAATTTTAAGTGGTAGTTTATGTTTATGAGCCTCGATGATAAAAAAAAGTTAAACACTAAGG